ATGTAGAAGATCTTTGTTACGAAAGTTATCTGGCAGTTCATCATTCAGACCCAACAGACACGTTCTTGCACCCAATTGCAGTTGGTACCTAAATATTAAACGTAACTTGTCTATAAGGCTGAGTGGTTTTAACTGCTCCCTGTCCTCATGTTCCAGGAGCCGACGCTGCAGAGGATGAAGAAGTGGACGTGACTTCTGTCGATCCCATAGTGGCTTTTTGCAGCAGGTATGAAACCAAAATGAGTAAAGAATTCACCGAACAGCAGAACCTCTGCTGCCGAGGCCTAAATATACGAATTTTCCAATATCTGAAGTGAAATTTGATGAAATATTCAACTCAAAACCCAAAGTAAATTTTTAACGTACGTTGAAGTCATTGAAAAAATATGTAAAATTTAAATATTAAATAAAAGTAAATAAGCTAAGTTAGTTTAAAGTTCAGGTAGTGAAAGTTAGAGTGATTTAGGGTATGTCCTGTGTCCAATGAAAACCCTTTTTATTGATTATTTCTTTATAATTTATTTCTTTTTACATCTCTCTTCTATAATGCATTTGTTTTACTGCTATGTGTAATTATGTGCAGTATTTATTAAAGAGTCATCGTAGGTTTTTGGAACCAATTATGGGAATAACAGTGTATTCTGATGGGAATATCAGAACCAACATACAAATATTTTAACATAAGAAGTCGGTCCAGGAACCAGTTAAACTCATATGTAGAGTTTCTACTGTAAATGTTCCTTTTCTGATCTGATGGGAACTCGGTCTCTTCCAGTCCACTCTGATGGTTTCTTTGAACCATCACAGCTCTTTTTTCTCTCACTTTCGGCACCAAAAAACTAGTTTGATGTTAAACCAGAACTCTTAGAGGTTAACATGGATACAGATTTGCCATTAACTCATTGACTGCCAAAGACGTCTATAGACGTCTTTTATGTTTTTCAACGAGAGTGGCTGGGGGACGATTTGCTAAAGCTTGTCCGTAAATATCGGCTTCTAGACAGAGTATGTAGTAACAAATTGACCCTCTAGGGGGCAGTGCCACTTTTGATGGGAGATGAGCATAGACTGTAGGCAAATAAGAAAAAGGTAACGGTTCGCTATGAGAGAACATGTCGCCGGTGAGACGCAAGTCGAGGAAGAACAGAATAAGGTAGAAACAAATTTGTTTTTCCTGATGAAAGAAGAGAGTCTACTCTTTCTTTTGGTGTGTTCGGTGTTTACATAGTCATAGCACAAACTATTCTGTGGCTCTTGAAAAATCTGTCAAAATGCTAAAAAAAACTCTGGCAGTATGGGTCTCTCTGTTCTGAAAATGGCTGGCAGTCAATGAGTTAAAGGTGGAAAAACTAACCCAAAAATCATAAAAACAGTCCGAAATCAGCATTGACTGTTTTGTGGAGTCATCTCTGTTTAGTTTTTACAAATAAAAGGTTGAATTTCCACTTCTTTTTCATATTTCTCAGCTAGATTTCTTAGCTTGTTTTTGGTAGAGTTTCTAAACCGATAGGATTAACGCTCTGTGTTCAGCTGGTGATGAATATTCTATATTATTGGTGATGATTTGCTCTGTGTCTGGTTAGTGACGAGGAGATGGAGGACTACAAGGCCCTGCTGTACCTGCCCATCGCCCCGGAGGTGGAGGACCCTGAGGAAAACCCGTTCGGCCCCCCCCCGGAGGCCTCGGTGCAGGGGGGGGCTCCAGAAGAGGCTTCGGCCGGAGGAGATAAGAAGCAGAGGCAGCCCTCCTCTGACGGAGGTCCGGCCAAGAAGAAGGCCCGCACCACCACCATCGAGCTGCAGGGGGTGCCCAGCGACGGTGAGCCACCGGGGGGGGAGATGGATAGATTTAGAGAAAGATAGATCTAGAGATAGACCTATAGATAGATGGATAGATCTAGAGATAGATGGATAGATCTAGAGATAGATGGATAGATCTAGAGAAAGATCTAGAGACATATGGATACATCTAGAGATAGATCTATAGCTATATGGATAGGTCTATAGAAAGATCTATAGAAAGATATAGAGATAGATGGATAGACATATGGATAGATATATGGATAGATATAGAGATAGATCTAGAGATAGATCTAGAGATGGATGGATAGATGTAGAGATAGATCTAGAGATAGATATATGGATAGATCTAGAGATAGATATATGGATAGATCTAGA